ACACATGGACAACCAAAAACTCACACATCCAGAGAAAGTTGGAAGTTCAAATAAATGAAACTCATGATTCAGATACCAAATTGAGCCATTAAAAGCTTAAAGCTTAATCCTAAGCCTACTTTTTCGCACGCCATCCCTTTTAATGGAACAATAAGATTTAATCTGATGATAGCAACAATCTGAGCCATGAAAACGTCTCTCTCAAAGAACAGTTTTCAGGCTGATGAAAGGTGACTCACTTCAGAAGATTCTGGCAACACTGTTTTTGTCCATCGATTATGCAGCCATAAGGAATCAGCTTCCACAGCATATCCATCTTGGTTCCGATGCCAAGAAAAGTGGGCATGAGTTCTGTTCTTTATGTCCAGTATGCCATGGCCGAAGCTGGGTTCACGATAAGCCGAGTAGAACGGCTGAGGGTCAATCATCCTGCATATAGGTTGCAAAAACCAGAGTTAATTTTGGTAAATCTGGTAAGATTAAACTTGGTTCTTAAAGAAAAGCTTTGGGGCAACAAAAAGCTTACTCTGTTACTAATCCTTCTGAGTTTCCTCCATCTCCAATGGTTAAATAAATTGGAGCATTTGGGTCATGGACTGGACTGCACATCCCATTTTCAATGTTGTATGCTATATTTGATATTCGTTCCTGTTGTGCAAATTCAGACGTTCATATGATTAATCATTACAAAACATTAACAAGCTGCTTATTCTATACATCAAATGGCAGAATTCTGTTAATTCAGTTCATATTCTACCAAGAGAACCAGTTGGATGCAAGCTATGATGGTTACCATGGCAATTATATGTAGACGAGTGTACTTACAGTTCGTTCGTAGGCATGAACATGACCAGCAAGTACAACATCGACTTTATATTTCACGAACCATGCCTCGAAAACCACTCTCATGCTTTCTCCTTCCATGTAATGGTGGACATAAGTGCTGTACATTGGACTATGCATAAGAACTATGAGCCACGGAGTCTCGTCCCTGTTTACCTTTGGCAGCTCCTTCTCTAGCCATTTGTACTGAGGGCTGCTTTTCACTGCGAGAAAAAGGTGGTAAAAAACACAAGTTCGAGCGTGCAAAATAAACCTTTTCATAGTAAGCCTACAAAAAATCTGTAAGCAGGAACAGAGCTGAAGTTGTGGAGGGGCTGGACATAAAGTTCAAGTTAAACTCATATTTTGGTCTCTAAACTTTTAAAATGTCTAGTTTAGTCACTAAACTTTTAGAATATTAAAATCATTTTGGTACTTGAATTTTCAGAAGATCTATTTTAGCATGAACTTCAAAAAATTTACCAATTTGGTTCTTGTTATTTCTATTACTTTGCAACCCAAAGTCTGCCACTCAATACCCATTTCACTCTTTAATACAAGTCCATATAATACACACACATATTTAAAGTCATGTTATTCCTATACTAGTTAATGCTAAAAATTTAGGGCAAAAACAAATGTGGGATATTTAAGGATTAAAATGAAATAATCCCAACAATTATGGACTAAAAATGGGATTTAAACCATCTTGTACTACAGATGGCTCATCCATCTTGTACTGTGATTTGCCCACTTTATATGGAAATCAAAGCCAATATACTCTATAATTAAGCTTAACAAGTTATAAACGGCAAAAGGAAACGTACGTACCATATGATGAGTAAGAAGACAAGACAATTATATAAGTTGAAGCTCTCTTAATAGAGTACCAAAACGGAGAGGCACCATCTGTGGCATTATACGGAACACGGTAACGATGCAGAAAAGGCTTAAATTCTTCAGTTTCACCCTGAAATATGACCAAAAAAATGCTGTTCATGGTATGTTCCAAAGGTTTGATTGAACCAATTAAGTCAACATTAGGAAGAGGATATATATATATAAGATATTTACAATTTCAGGAACGCAGTCGAGTTCATGATTCCCTGTAGTCCAAATCCAAGGTTGATAAGCTACACTTCTTTCTACGAACCTCGCCCATGTGTCCCACCTGTTGTTATCGTGGAATGGATGGCGGTCTGCATAAGACAGGTCCCCAAGGAACAACACAGCCTGTCCTTTTCTTGGGTTCGATTCATAGTGTGTGAGTGTCCTATTGGAATCATATGTTTGACCAAGATCTCCTGCGCAAGATGATCAAAGAGGGTAAAAAATAAATCTCATGTCTAAGAAACTCAAATCCAACAGAAAACAGTGTTATGTGTTTGAAAGGAAAATGTTTAAGAAACTCAAATCCAACAGAACAACAATGTTACGTGTTTTAAAGGCAAATGTTTAAGAAACTCAATTCCAACAGAAAAACAATGTTATGTGTTTGGAAGGCAATATAAGAAAGAAAGCTACCTATCAGACCAAAAGTATAGGGCACATCAGGGCCAATCTTAGGAGGAGTTGTGAACCAAAATCTTCGTGTTAGACTTCCAAACCCGATAATGTAAAAGTATTTAGTATCATACTGCACGGATCATAGGATCAAGCAAATTAAGTACTCTGTTTATATCGTTTTCAAATTCAGAATCAGAGTTCATGAGAATGTAAAAGAAGTACAATCAACAATACGGCAGATACCTCTAAATTGTCAATGGTGCAGTGGTGGATGTAGCCAGATGTATAGTTGAAGTACTTGTAGGAAACAACAGAGCCTTCAGCTTTGTTTCTATTTTTACTATTTTCAGCCCAGTAAACCACTCTGTTTGAACCTGGTTTATCTGGTGTCACCCAAGAGATAATTACACTCTTACCCTCAAGATCCCCTTGTGTTATATGAACCTTCAATCAACAACAAAAAGGAAATCAAGCTCAATCAGATTCAAAATGACATCCAATAACACACTATCGGTTCTGCAGATTCAGCCCTACTTAAAATGCCTCTTCTGATTCTATCTATCATCAATTAATCGAAAGAAACGCTCACATTTGTTCTTCCTAGAATTCTCAGAACAAGCGAAGAGAAAATCGAAGGCAATATACTTAAAATCCGAATTCTGCTTCTAATATCGGGAAATCGGAGAAGAAATTCACCTGTTGAGCGGCATTTTTACCAGGAGGAGACCGAAACACGTCGCTATCGAGCGGCATATCCGAGGACACATCTTTATCGCGAACGAAACCGCTCGTCAATCCGGCATTACAAACGCCAGAATCACTCAGAATAGAACCAAACACAGCAAGAACAAGAACACCAGCACGAAGCATGATCGCCGCCATCGATCTTCCTCAGATTACAATATACAAGTCGATTTTCCAAATTCCAGATTTGGTTTTTGTAGTGAATTGATATTATCAGTGTGGTCTAATTCCTTCGCACACTTCAAGGAGTGTGAGCGGTTCGTTCGAATCGATATTATACAAAATTAGGAGGCGATTTGATCAGAGGGAGAGAGCGAAGGAAGCGCGAGAAAGAGAGAGAAGCCATGTGTGAGCGAGAGATTTGAACAATTGGATTACTGCCATTACATATCAAATCATCGTTACAGTTGCAGAAGCTTTCACTGCAAAATCTGAACATCCATAACTCTTCCATATCATGGACCAAGGGAATATGCAATTTTTGGAAAGAATATGCGGGTCCGGAGCCGTCTTATCTTATCCAAAGTTTTAAATGTGAGTTAAACGTCACGTCAATTTCATTGAAATATGGATAAAAGTGAATAATCTAAAATAAAAATTTTGTAAAAGTAATTTAAATTAACGACTAATTATTTCCACTTTTTATAAATAAATTAAAATTAATTTATACTAATTTCAGGTATATATTTAAGTGATATTTTATTCAGATTGATGTCAAACTATAATTACATAGAAATGTCTCACTATTTGGTTTAAAATTTTAATCTTAGTAATTACAAAATCAAACGCGACGAATGGATTAAGACACTTATCTTCAATTACTATTCAGGATAATACTATTACTCAATTAAACAATAAACCATTACGATCCATTGAGTTACTATATGTTAAAGTCATGAGTAAATTTACAGTTCTACACAAACCAAAACCAATAAAAAAAGATTACTATCCAATCTAAACCACAGTGGCCAAAAGATAATTTAACTTCCTTTTAACGAGGTGGTTGTTTGTAAAATGTAAAGTAGTATTCCTTAAAAAAATGAAAATTCTATTTTAACCTTGTCAAACTTTTAACTTTATTATTCAATATGTGGTGCTTTTATGAACTAGAAATTATCCTTATAACAAAAGAACTATTCCTACGGGGTATCTTGTCAATTTTTTATTTTACTTTTATAGTTTCTTTTTTTTTTTAAAGGGAAAAAACAAGGGAACAAAATTAACAAAGCCCGTCTAAACACTCATGAGCCAGAAAGGAAGATAACTCGGTCGGCCAACTCTCCAACCAAGTCCGGTGTTCTCGTTGAAGGAGAGCCCTCCTTTGCCAAAAGATCAGCAACTCCATCCCCTTCCCTTCTTGTAAATAGGACAGAATCGGACGCTTCATTTTGTCTTCCCTTCACTGAAACTTTTATAGTTATATACTTTAAGTTTCTTAATTTTTTTTAGTATATTCTATGTTAAATAGGATTGGATTTGAATGTAGAACTTGTTCGAAATGTTGATATTAATAGAAATGTCGAAGTCTAAATTTTACGAATATGTCAATAGATATACCGATGGATATTTCGAAAAAAATCACAGAATTTGTGGATATTGATGCAAATTTTTTGAATTAATAAATAATATTTTAGTTGAACTCTAATTAGCCCATAATTGATTATTTTTAACCATCGTATCTAAATATATAAGTAATATACTTATGAAAATGTCTGTTCGATGAAAACGTCGAAACAAAATCTTATATACATACATGAAATTATTTAAATTAATAAATTAAATTTCATTGTTGCCTAATTATGTTTTATTGATAATTTCTAATCTAATATAGCATTTAGTTACTTAATTTTTAATGAAATAATCGTAGAAAATTTTAAAAATAAAATGTATTATATACAAATGGTGGAGATATATGAAGTAGAACAAGTAAATTAATATAAAAAATATGACTTTTGGATGATCTAGTGTATTATCTTTTATAAATTTGATTGAAAAGTTAGACGAATGATTGATTTAGAAATACATTTAATTTGAAATTGAAAATAAAAGTAGATAAAAATAAAGAAGTTAACGTACTAAAAGAAATAGAAAAAAAAAGGAAAAAAAATTACCTTTTAGACTTGTTCCACGTCGAAGAGGTTCCAAGCATTAATAATGTACCAATATTTAGAGCTTTTTAAGCTTCGAATGATGGGCCTAAATATTTGCTTTAGTACAAAATATTTTGTTCGATATTTTGATAAAATTGCATTATGTCGTGAAATATCGATGATATATGGTCCAACTAAATAACTTTTTCTTTTTCATTACTTCCACGATCGTGCCAACAACACTTGTACTATTGAAATAGTCTATAGAGATGTTCCCAGAGATGTTGCTTCTTCCAATGATACTATAATTTCTATTCCTATCTCTTTATTCTCTCTTTTGTTCTATCTACATTAATATCGAGGAAAAATCGATTTTTTCTGTGTAATGGGTTGAATACCTCAAAATATCAACTGACATAGGTGGTAAGTTCCAATCATCACCTTAATTATTGTATTAAAAAAATAAAAAAAGACATGTCATTTTTTTAAATTAGTTATGTTTGAATATGAAAATTAATCGAAAATAAATCCACACCGTCCATTTCTTCTCATTCTCTTTTTTTTCATAAATCAAGCCATTCATTAACATCAACAATACAAAACATATATATAAATATAATGGGGTTTTCGGGCTCTGTGGCCCCCACACAGTAGATAATCACATTCATACCCCTGGCCCCACCATCTCTCGCTCTCCATTTTCCCTCTTCCTTCTAATTTTCAAACTAAAAAAAAGAAAAGAAAAAAGAAAAAAGGAACACACTGAAGTAATTGGCGAAGCTTGTTGTAGGAAGGACACGTGTCGCGAGGGAGTCAAAAGTTGGGCGTGTTTCCGTGTGGCTGGTCAAACATTTTCAGCCGAAGGATGGAGAAGTGGGGCGGTAAGGGACGGCTTGATGTGGGCGGTTGTTCTGTTGCTACTGTGCTCCGGAGCGGACTGGATCACTGCCCTTGCCAACAAGAATTTCTTCTCTTCGCTCTTGCCCCACAGCACAAGGTAGAGCCCCGATATAATCAGCACCGCCCCTATGATTCTGTACATCCAACCCCATACTTAATCAATCTGTCTCCCCAATACTAAAGTTATATTTCATTTTTTGTTAGTTCATCAACTAATTACACAACAAATTTTAAATTTTAAAATTTTTATATATTCATTCATAAAGATGATAGACGGATTTCGATTTGTTTGTTTTTTTTTAATGTTCAAGTGAGATCATGCTTTTAATTGAACAATAAAAAGTCCATATCTTTTCCAATTATTCTAAATTTTTAAAAAAATATATTACTGATTTTGTGTTAATAAAAAAAGGCTCATAGAAGTGTCGGTCGGACGAGGAGAAGTCGAGTGAAAGAAAGGGGACGGAGACGGACCCTCCCAAGTAGAACTCTTCGCCCAAAGCGAAGGAAGCCATAACAGCGACAACGAAGGTCTGAACCGGTTGGTAGACCGCTACGAAAACCGGGCCGCCCCTGTCAATGCACCAGATCTGAACCGCAAACGCTATCCCCGAAGCCACCACCCCCTAGACCAAAAAGAATAAAAGACATTTATTTAATTAATTAAAAATATATTATTCTGATTAATTAAATCGAAAATACTTACACAGAGGAATGCAACGGAAAATAGAAACATTTTAAAAAATTAATGTTTCCAATTTTTCTATGTGACTGACCGCGTAAACGATGCTGAAGGCTTCAGCGCCGGAGTGAAAGAGCCAGGCCTGAGTGTCGCGCTCGAAGGCGACGGCGATGATGAAGAATTGGATGAGGCCGAAGAAGCAGGTGAAGGAGGTGACGGAGAGCCGCGCCGGGTATTTTTTAAGCACCGGCGCTTGCAGGACCAGCCACGCCGACCACGACAAACAGTGGCCGATTAAGTAGACGCAGCCCAGGGTCCAGCTCTTTCCCTTTGCGTCCCCTAGTGACGGAAACATTCCTCCCGTCGCAGCCACGGCCGCCGTGCCCTGCAGCGTCACCGTCGCCGTCGTGGCCGGGCTGTATATGGTTGGACCTTTGTACAGTGTGATCACCGTGGCTCCGGCCACGCAGCATAGAGTTCCCAACACCTTCGCTATGCCGTCTTTTCGGTTCAGTCTCACCTGCTCTATCCTGATCTCAAAGCAACACCAAAATTTTGTTTACAATAAAGCAGCCTTGCCTCGCTCTGCATGTTTTTTACTTTTGGTTTCTTTTTTTTTTAATTGAAAAAATTTCCTAATAAATGGAGATGTTATTCTTGAATCACATTGTGAGGTATTGTTTGCATTTAGAAGTCTCAGTTTCCATTCAAATATGAACACTTTCACGCAAGAAAAAGAGTAACAATAATGAGTTGCTTATGCATTAATAAATTTGAAATTTAAGAGAGATATGAAAGTATAAATTAAAAAAAGAGATAAAATCAATTTTTAAAAAGTATTTATTAGGCTAGAGTGTTCTCCCTTGCAGACCATCGTTAAATTATGATAAATAGGAGAGAAATAAAAGTATAAGTTCTATTTTAAAATAATAAACTATCAATTTTTCAAGGTCAGTACTTAATCTCTTAAACAGTTAACAATTTCTTAATAGTAGTGATGGAGAAGATAACACCAAACCATAAACGCTCAAATAATATAATTGAATTTACCTGAGAAGTGCAGCCATGAGGAACGTAATGGCAGGAACAGAATTCTGTATGGCAGATGCAAAGGTGGGGGAAGTATTATCCAAACCCAGCAAGTAAAACCCTTGGTTGGCTGTGATTCTGCCCACGTAAAAAAATAAAAATCCCCACAATTAAACATATAATTAATTAAGAATATTACAATTATTATATATAACATTAATTAGTGTTTAATGATATCAGTTTCTTTTGGTTATACCCAACAAGAGCGAGGAAGAAGAACTGAATGACGAAGTTGAGAGTGAGCGCAGGCCTATCCTTCCTGTCCACACAGCAAAACGAAAACGGCATCGTTTCATCAAATGAAAAAATGAAGAGACAAGAGAGAGGGAGTTACAAAGGGATTAGAGAGGGTACTTTTCGATAAAATATGCGAAGGGGAGGAGGAGGAGCAAAGCGATGACGTTTCGGTAGACGGGGAAGACGAGTTTACTGATTCCCATGTTGAGGGCAGCTCTAGAGACGACATGAAAACCGGCGTAGCCGAATTGCAAGGCCAGCATGGCAGCGTGGAGCTGGAACCTCTCCGGTATGGAACACGACATTCTCTTGTCGGAGACCGACCCGACGTCCGCCATTGTTGATGGAGGTCCAGAAACAGCAAGAACAAGAAGAAGAAGAAGAGAAGATGAAGAAGAAGGTGGGATGGAGAGGTATAAATATGGGAGGGAAAGAGTGGGGTTGGCCCATTGTGGGCCTCAAAAATATGCTGCATTCGTCAAAGGTTTGAATTCTGTTTTGGGGTTGTCTTCCACATCATTATTCTGCTCAGCTAAAACACAACCGCCCGTGGCAATGCACAGCCTATCCCAACAAAATACTCACCATTTATCTTCTTCCTAACTATCACTACAAATTTGATGCTTTTTTTTTTTTTATAATCTTTCTTGGGTTGCGTTGTGGCTTGTGGATAGTGGAGCCAAAAAATGAAGTACTAGACGTTGTAGGGCTACTTTGGCTAAGAGTGTAGCGTTGCAGCGCTGTTGCAAAGTGATGAAAAAAAATATGCTTGCATTGCTTAGGCGAGAATTTTGATCGTAGAGCGTTGTCATCTATCCATTCTCGTGATTCTTATGTGAGAGTTTTCCATTTTTTATATTCCTAAATAGTCATTGTTGTGGTTTCTAGAGAATGTTCTAAAGTGAAAATATGACACATCGTAATCTTCTTATCGCAATAAGACTTGTCATTTGTGGAAGATTGGACGTATCTTGAATTTAGGAGATACCTGTCTATTTTTTATGTTTGTTTTTCTATCCACATCTAATATTTCTTTTATTGTTAATTAAATTGTGATTGATTCATTTTATGAAAGGGAAACTAGTTAAATCTCGACTATATAGCTCTGATTGGAGAACTAAACATTTTATTTCTAGACAGATTCATCGCTACTAAAGTTTAAAAAATATAAAAGAAAAAATTCTCTTCTCTCCTCATTTTTCTATAATCTCTCATACTTGTCAATAACATGTATAAAAGTAGACAGCATGAAATTGATGCTCACCAATCAATAGAAAAATCATTTTCAATGGTGACCAGTAAGAAGATTTTTATAAATTAAAGCATTTTTCCATAGAAAATACCTACATTTCTAGGAGCTGGTGACTCCCATTAAAAAAGTTTGACTAACTCATTATTTAAAAAATTATTTATTTTGTATCTCACTTAACTATTAAACATTCAAGGGTGGTAAATATAAATTAAGGTGTGATATGTATTTTTATTCCTTTATTATTGTTATGAAAAATTAAGGAGTTTTATTATTGGAAATATGGGGGGAATAATAATGATGGTATCAGTGTGTGTGGGGGAAAGAAAAGAAGCGATCCAGATGGTGGTGCGCGCACGAGCGCTGGTGGTGGGCACTCCTCCCATGCAGGCCCTTCTTAATTCCCCCACGCCCAACCTCTAAGCATTAAATATTCGTAATACAAAAATAATTTTAAATTCCTTTTCTATTATTCTATTTTCTTTCTTCTTCTTGATCTTCTTCAAATTTTAGTATAAAAAATGTTTCTAATAGATTGGTGGAATCTTTGACTTATAAGATAGGTTACTCATAGCCAGTTTAGACATTAAGCTATGTCTGAAAGTATTATTCAACTTCTTGTTCACTAAACCTATTGCATGTCTTTGTTAAATATTAAGTTTGTCTAATGTTTTTAATAATAATCTTAGGTGGAATTGTATTTTGTGTCAATTAGATATTGAGTTTAGTAATTAAACATACCAGATTTTTACGAAAACTAAAAATCAAAATCCTAAAAGAACTTATGAAGAATGTTGATATACACCTAAATGAATTAAATTTACCAAACCTGGTGTGTGGTGTTTGTCCAACACATTCCAATGTTTAAGTTAGACTTTATGTTTTTGTCATGTTGAACAGAGGAAAAAAATTATACATGCAATTGCGTGTGAGGATTATTTGTCACATTTGCCGCCCTATCATTCAAGCTATATGAGTTTTCTAAGAGCAGAGTGATAAGTTCCTAACTCAAAACTTTAGGACAATCTCACACATTATTGACAATTGTCGGTAAAGTATAAGACTCTCTTTGTCCCCTAGTCGAGGCTTGGTTTGTCTTCTTTCTGTTCCAGCGCCTCGACTAGCATTGTATCTTCCTAACACGCTTCTGTAATTGTGTCTATTATCTATTGATCCATATATGTATAGCAATGTTTATTTAAGTATCTAGATCTAAAAATGTGCTTTTAATATCATTAGTTAGGCAGTAATAACATAATTTGCATGTTGGACAAATATTAGCTAATTTGACGCAATATAACCAAAGAAAAGAATAGATCTTTAACAAAGTAAGATTTACRATATAACATTTTTTTGAAGCATTGTATGAATTCTCTCTAAAATATGTCACTCTATTTTGTCTAACATTATTTATTCCTTCTATCATTTTGTTTGCCACTTATATTTATTTGGATAGGTATATGTCATAAATCTCATTTAGCTAACGTACCTGTTAGCTACAAACACTACCTTGAATTKTAAGGACGTAATTAATTTTTTTAATTTAGAAATAATTAAATAAATACAACTACAAAAATCAGTACACTGACTCTATGATCATTAAAGTTAAAAATAAAATTGAAAGTTGATTAATCAAATTAATACTTTTCTAAACAATAAAATTAATTTTATTGTAATATATAATGTTTTTAATTACAAAACCATATTAAATTTTTGTTACTTTAAAAAGCTAAGTGCATGGCATAATTGGGAAATAAATAACAGATATTCACCACTAGGGCATGTTGGGTACCAACTATAGAAAATTGGCAGTTCACCAAACAATCCTCGTTTCCAGGGA